AAAGGAAGAAAAGCTAAAACAAAAGGAGATACATACACCAGATGACAATGTCATAGTCCTCGTAGGCTGACGTCAGAAACTCGTGAAGGTACGGTCTCATCAGCTCCTGACCCGTTTCTGCACACGACTTATGATCTGAACACGCAAAAGAGGCAGACATGAATACATGGTGTTCGGATTAAACGAGCAACTATACAAACAGTGATGGCATTATACATTTGAAAGTGTCCTGATATATTGACTTCCATTACAAAATAAAGATTTTGTATCAATATCTAAAAAATGTGTTCATACAAGTTTCCACCTGATGAGCCTCTTGCAGATTTAACCCATATTAAATTAGTCAGAAGAAGAAACATTGCAGACGCAGTGTTAAAGTTCTTACTTTAGCCGTAACCTTCGCTCCCTCTCCCCCTCTACCTTTGCCTCGTCGGTGCTCTCAGCCCTCCCTTCCTCTGACTCGTTCCAACTCCTGCCTCCAAACTCTGCTGCAGAAACTCTCCTCTCTACTCTCTCATCCACTCTGGACTCGCTCTGTCCTCTCACATCTCGGCAGGCTCGTCAGTCCCCTCCTGCTCCCTGGCTAAATGATGCACTGCGTGCTAATAGAACCGTCCTTAGGGCAGCAGAGCGGAAATGGTGGAAATCCAAACACCTTGACGACCTCCTAACCTATCAGGCTCTCCTCTCCTCTTTCTCTGCTTCGATCTCTCAGGCAAAAAGCACTTTCTTTCAAGATAAGATCCAATCTTCCTATTCCAATCCTAAAAAACTATTTTCCATCTTCTCCACCCTCTTGGACCCTCCAAAAGCCCCTCCCCCCTCCTCACTTCTGTCAAGCGACTTTGTTACCCACTTTGAAAAAAAGGTTCATGATATTCGCTCTTCTTTTTCTGACTCACCTTTACTCACCGCTGGGTCACCAGACCCTCCTTCCACCAACACACTTACCTCCTTTTCCCCTCTCTCTCCAAGTGAGGTTCTTACCCTCATTACCTCTGCCCGCCCTACCACCTGTCCTCTGGACCCTATCCCTACAAACCTCCTTCAGACTATCGCTCCTGATATTCTACCGTTTCTCACCCATTTCATCAACACTTCTCTAACTTCTGGTCACTTTCCAAACAGTCTCAAGGAGGCAAGAGTAAACCCTCTCCTAAAGAAACCCACTCTCAACCCGTCTGATGTTATAAACTACAGGCCTGTCTCTCTCCTCCCGTTCCTGTCTAAATCACTTGAACGCGCTGTCTTTAAACAACTCTCCTGTTATCTCAATCAGAACAACCTTCTGGATCCGCACCAGTCTGGTTTCAAGGCAGGTCACTCCACAGAAACTGCTCTCATTGCTGTCACGGAGGAACTGCACACTGCCAAAACTGCATCCCTCTCCTCTGTCATCATCCTGTTGGACCTGTCTGCTGCATTCGACACGGTGAATCATCAGATCCTCCTTCGCACTCTCCAAAAACTTGGAGTTTCAGGCTCTGCACTTTCCCTCCTCACCTCATACCTGAAAGACCGTACCTACAGGGTGACTTGGAGAGGGTCTGAGTCCGACCCTTGTCAATTAACTACAGGGGTCCCTCAGGGCACTGTTCTTGGTCCCCTCCTCTTCTCCCTGTACACAAACTCGCTCGGATCAGTCATTAGCCCACATGGTTTTTCTTACCACTGCTACGCTGATGACACCCAATTAATTCTGTCCTTTCCCCGCTCAGAGACCCAGGTCGTCGCACGCATCTCTGCTTGTCTAGCTGACATCTCTCAGAGGATGTCTGCTCATCACCTCAAGCTCAACCTTGACAAGACTGAGCTGCTCTTCCTTCCGGGAAAAGATTGTCCCACTCTTGACCTAACAATCAACATCGGCACCTCAGTTGTTTCCCCGACTCAGACTGCAAGGAATCTGGGTGTGACCCTAGATAACAACCTGTCCTTCACTGTAAACATCGCTGCTACAACCCGTTGCTGCAGATACACGCTTTACAACATCAGGAAGATATGTCCCCAGCTGACACAGAAAGCGACTCAGGTTCTGGTCCAGGCTCTCGTCATCTCACGCCTAGACTACTGCAACTCCCTCCTGGCTGGTCTACCTGCATGTGCCATCCGACCTCTGCAGCTCATCCAGAATGCAGCGGCTCGTCTGGTCTTCAACCTTCCTAAATTTTCCCACACTACTCCGCTCCTACGCTCGCTTCACTGGCTTCCGGTAACTGCTAGAATCCACTTCAAGACACTGGTACTTGCTTACCATGCTGCGAATGAATCTGGCCCTTCGTACATCCAGGACATGGTTAAACCGTACACTCCAGCGCGTGCACTACGCTCTGCATCAGCCAAACGACTCGCTGCGCCCTCGCTGCGAGGGGGACCCAAGTTCGCAACGGCGAAAACACGTGGGTTTGCTGTCCTGGCTCCAGGATGGTGGAATGAGCTCCCCATTGACATCAGGACGGCAGATAGCTTGCACATCTTCCGGCGCAAACTGAAAACTTATCTCTTTCGACACTACTTCGAGCGATAGAACTATTAACGAAGCACTTTTATACTAATAAAGGACTGGCTTTTCTAAAGCCAGTTGAGTAGCACTTGAAATGTTTTTGCTCTATGAAGCCTGATGTACTTATTTGATTCTGTTTTCTTCAAGTTGTATTTTGTTGGACGAACGCACTTATTGTAAGTCGCTTTGGATAAAAGCGTCAGCTAAATGTAATGTAATGTAATGTAATATTAGCATGCTATAATTAGACAAGCCATACAGTCAGGTGTTTATCAATCATATCGTAAAAAAGACAAGTTTCTGTGCCACTGTAACGCACCGAACAGTGTGTAGTCCACATCCAGGACCAGAAGCCCCTTGCCTTCTCTGGGAGGGTTCATTTCCTCCACCTTGTAGTCTTTCACTCTGCGGGCGATCTTAGCCAGGTTCTCCTCTCTGCAGCCACGGAACAACATTGGTTTCTCAGAAATATTTCCTTACGCTTTCTCAAAAGTTAAATCTTGCTTCTTTACAGACATAGAATTCCCATTAGAATAGCTCACCTGTTCTCCACTTCAATTACTTCCTCCTCGATGTCAAAGTCATTGACCACGTCATCGTTCTCCGGGGGAGGGGCTAAAACCTCTTCCTGCACAAAACAGAAAACATTTTAAAGTGTACCAGTCAACCAAGGGGAGCCTAGACACAACTAGGCATGGGACGATTTAAACCTTTCATATCAAGTTAACTCGGGCCAAAATCCATGCGTTCGCGAAACATAATGGAGAAACCTTACTTTATGTTTTGTTAAAACATTTTGAAATAAGTATTCATCAAAAATATGGAACTCATCCTTAAGTGAAATCAAACCAGCTTAAATAAGACAATTACAAATAATAAGCTCCCCATCATAAAAAAATAAAATAAATGTATTAAATGTTGTATTACTCACATAATAGTCCTCTATCTTTGTTTTTTTAACAGGCCCTATTTTTCACTTTAATAGCAAGCTAGACAGCTTTCATAAGTCACATATGTGTCATGATTATCCCAACTATAAAAAATGTACCACAATCAATATTGTTGAATTTAAGCACGATCTGCAATAGCAGGATCATCATCCATCACACCACTTATTGACCATTAGATTAAAGCTAGATGGTGACCATAACTATTAACTAACGAGTACGAAAAAATGCTCTCTCAATGACTATCAGGTTTGGTTAAACTCCAAGATAGTTGTTCTCTTAGGGACACAGCCAGTTGATTGGGAAACTAGTAATATGTATGTATAGTCAGTGAACTTCCCTTTCACACTGCCACCTACCAGGCTCTCCTCTCTGGTACCCATCATCATAATCTTAGTGTTAGGCTTCAGCTTCAGAGAGCCCAGCTTCACCTCATCTTCTGCAGGTTTACCTGAAGCAGGAATGAAAGAGAGAAAGAACAGAAGGAGAAAAGGGAGATTCATTTAGCTTTTTTTAAAAAACACAATTAAACTAAATAGAATGTATAAACTACAGACAGTTGGAGAACTTTGACACTCAGGCAGTTAACAGACTCAGAAATTGGTTTGTAAAACATCAGCTTATGCTACGAATCTGGATCAACATAAAAAAGCCTTGGGAAACGTAGTGGTGAATTTGTTTGATCAGAAGCTGATATCATTTAGGTGAGATGTTTCTATATTCAACAATGATGGCACAACAGAAAATAAAATATTGTCCACTTGGTTTGAATATCGTATGGCAAAAATAACATTTGTGAACACTCACCTTTGACCTTAAGTCCTAGTAGTTTCTGTCTCTCCGGCAGAACCCCAGTCAGGCTCTTGATGGACTGCTTCAGGTCCATTACTGTGTCCTCCTCAGACAAAGAACTGATGGAGTACTCCTGACCTCCCCACTTTATGATCACTGATACTGACATGTCACTAACGGGCTCTTCACACACATACACACACTGCAGCTGGAAGAATGCACGCGCGCATACGAGTGCACACCCTTTCAAGCTAAAATGCTTCCAGCTACAGTAACATACATGCACACGTACCTTACAGATAAAGGGGAAAGAAACAAGGAGGTGTCAGGATCCCACACTGTTGTTGGCTGTTGCTTGAGCAAAACGTATAAAGTAGCTAATAATTAAAGACATAGAGCAAAATATGCCATCCTTATTGCAAAATATGTGTTGTTTTGGCTGGCTGATTCAAGAAACAACGGCCAAATGCCACCTTAATCGCACCAGACACTTTGACAGTGTCTGCTGTTGATATTTTTAGCATGAGATGGCTAACAGTGACTAGCAACAATGTAAACACGCCAGGCAACTAGCCAACAAGCTAGCATTAGCTCACTAAGCTACAAGGTGTTGGTATCCTTACCTGGTAGGGCAAGCTAGCGTGTAATGCTGGACAAACACTGCCAAATTACTTCGGGAAGTTGAATGAATGAATCAAGTTTGCCGTTCAGTTTCATTCATCGAGCAGCGCACATCCTGGCGTCCCGAATTCTACCGGTAGTGACGTAGTAAAAAAAAAACTTCGTTGCCATAGTGACCATGATTTAATGGGTTCACGTAAAATAGTTTTCCAACACTGATTTCAAATGTAGGTCATCCAAAACTAAAATACCCTTAAATGTACCATTAAATGCACCCTATGTTATGCTTCATACATATTCTCTGATTGACTACAAATGTAAAACACAAGTAGCAATTCTAAAGTCCAAAATACTCTGTTGTAAATAAAAGTAATTAGGGAATGTTTATTAAAAGGGCTACTTAAATAAAAAATAAAAAAACACATACCATGTCTTGTTACCAAGTGACTCCAAACTTATATCAGATATAAAAACTTCTTTAGACATATTAAACACCTCCCTTTTCTATTGGATTTTAGCCCATCTTCTTCCACATGCTGGGCCTATGGGCCTATGTGAAAATTCAGCAGTTTTCAATTGTAAAGAGGATTGTCTAATAGCTTTTCGGGCATTCCTGTGGAGGTTGGGGACATTGAACCAGAGTGGGCGGTGTTCAAAGCCTCTATTGCCGAAGCCGCGGCGGGGAGCTGTGGTCTCAAGGTCTTATTCAATTCAATTCAAAACCTTTATTTATCCAGGTAAAATCCCATTGAGATCAATGATCTCTTTTTTAAGGGAGACCTTGAGGCATCTAATGGCCCGACTAAATCGTGGTTCTAGGGCCAGGAACAACCAGGCTGAGTCGGGCTGAGTATGCTAAACTAGAGAGAGAATCGCTGGCAAGGGGGCTACAACTACAACAAGATGAACATATTTGACCGTGATTTAATTGTAATACACGTTATAAGGCCTAACCAAACCGAGCGAGGCCGAGCGAGGCCTGCAGTGGAAACGCGCCATTAGGTGCCTCAAGGGGCGGTAACCCTTGAACCTGAAGAAACTTGAAGAAACCGGCTGGCCCGGACAACGTAGAACAACGTAGAACCTTTCTTTTTAAAGATAGCTGCAGATTGTATTGCTCTTCCTCTTACTACTCTTTTTAACCTCTCCCTCAGCACAAATGCAATTCAAAAAGTATGGAAGTCAGCTTATGTCTTGCCTTTACTAAAAGGAGGGGAGGCAACTATTTTAAATAACTATAGGCCAATCTCTAAATTGTCAGTTCTGGCGAAGGTGCTCGAACGCCTAGTGAGTGAACAGGTAAAGGAGTTTTTATGTAAAAATGATATCCTGTCTAAACATCAGTCAGGCTTCAGAAAACAACATAGCACCATCACTGCCACAATGAAAGTGGTGAATGACATTACGAGTATTTTAGACAATAAGCAGAGTTGTGCAGCTCTATTTATTGACCTTTCCAAAGCGTTTGATACCGTCGATCATCGCATCTTAAAGCAGAGGCTACTCAGTATCGGCATATCCAGCCATGCAGTGGGTTGGTTTGTGAACTACCTCTCTGAAAGGTCCCAATGTGTTCACTTTGATGGGCTGTCTTCTGAGTGGTTAAACATTGCTAATGGTGTTCCTCAAGGTTCTGTTTTAGGTCCACTTTTATTCTCCATATATATCAACAGTTTAGGTGAAAATGTGGATGATGCTACTTTACATTTTTATGCTGATGATACCGTGATGTATTGTGCAGGTCCCTCCATTAAGGAGGCTGGTGTTAAATTACAGGCTGTTTTTAACATTATTCAGACTCAGCTTGCTGAACTTAAGCTTATTTTAAATGTTGATAAAACCAAGTTAATGCTATTTTCAAAAGCTAAAAAGACACCAGAGCCTGTTTTGGATATTGTTACTATGCAAGGACAAGTACTTGAAGTGGTTACCAGTTATAAATACCTAGGTATCTGGCTTGATGATTGTCTTACTTTTAAACGTCATGTCAATAACCTGCTTAAAAAGCTGAGGGTTATAGGTTTCTTTTTCAGAAACAAGTCCTGTTTCTCTTTTGAAGCCAGGAAAAGGCTAGTCACTGTGACCTTTTTACCTGTGCTGGACTATGGTGATTTGATCTATATGAATGCACCTGCCCATTGCCTGTAAAAGTTAGATGCCGCCTATCACAGTGCCCTGAGATTTGTTACTAACTATAAAGAACTTACTCATCACTGTACCCTGTATGCCAAGGCAGGTCTGCCTTCACTAACTGTACGGAGGCTCAGTCATTGGTACATGTTCATTTACAAAGCCATGTTGGGTAAACTACCTTTTTATATCTGCTCTCTGATCTCTCGACAAATTGAAAGTACATATTGCCTGAGATCTCATGATGTTGTTTTATTAAATGTGCCAAGTGCTAGAACTGTCTTAGGGAAGAAAGCTTTTAGTTGTGCAGCTCCACTAAATTGGAACAGTCTGCAAACATGTTTAAAACTGAGCACTTTGGTTCCCCTGCATCATTTTAAAACTCGGCTGGGTGACATGCTGTTTGATACTCATGGTACCTGTCACTGTAAATAGAGTTTGTAAACTGTACCCTGTACATTATGTTGTATGTCATCCTTATTGTTGTTCTGTTGTTTTTATGTTACATGTGTAACTAATGTCCTGCAGGTCACCCTTGAAAAAGAGATCGTTTGATCTCAAGGGGCTTCACCTGGTTAAATAAAGGCTACAAACAAACAAACCTCCTGGTGGACACCGGTGGTCAGGGAAGCCGTCCGACTGAAGAAGGAGGCCTTCAGGGATTTGTTATCCCGGGGGACTCCCGAGGCAGTTGCAAGGTACCGACAGGCCCGAAGGGCAGCAGCCTCAGCCGTGGCCGAGGCAAAGCAGCGGGTGTGGGAGAAGTTCGGAGAAGGACTTTCGGGCAGCACCAAAGTTGTTCTGGAAAACTGTCCGACACCTCAGGAGGGGGAAGCAGGGAACCATCCAAGCTGTGTACAGTAAGGATGGGACGTTGTTGACCTCAACTGATGGAGTGTTGGCGTTGGAAGGAACACTTTGAGGAACTCCTGAACCCGACAACTCTGCCCTCTATGGTAGAGGCAGAGCTGGAGTATGACGGGGGATCAACACCAATCTCCCGGGGAGAGGTTATTGAGGTCGTCAAACAACTCCACAGTGGCAAAGCCCCGGGGGTGGATGAGATCCGCCCAGAAATGCTGAAGGCTCTGGGTGTTGAGGGACTGTCATGGTTGACACGTTTCATCAACGTTGCGTGGAAGTCGGAAACAGTACCGAATGAGTGGCAGACCGGGGTGGTGGTTCCAATTACAGAGGCATCACACTACTCAGCCTCCCCGGGAAAGTTTACTCTAATGGTGCATTTCCACTGCAGCGGGTAGCCCCGTTTAAGCGTTCTTAATCGTCCTCAAGCAGCCAGGCCAGTTTTTGGTGGCCTTTCCATATAGCGTAGCCACAGCTAGCGGGTACTTTTTCCCTCTTTTTCCAGCCCCATAAAATCGTGGTTCTATCAGGCCAGGGCCAGGACTGAGGTGACGTCAACACTCTCGACTGCTGATTGGTCAGAGAGAATCGTCACAAGCTCGCGCGCGAGATCATCCCTAGCGTCGCATATATATCTAGAAGCAAGCTTGCAGCATTTTTGTAAACGGAGGAGCTACAAAAATGGCAACGTCAAAGAAAAGCACACCGTGGTCGACCGAGGAGGTGACGACGTTCCTACATCTCATAGGGGATGATAAAATCCAGCGGGAGCTCGACGGAACAACTCGAAATGTGAAGCCGATCGCCCCGCCTACACTGCGTTGTTACCCCAGGTCCTAAACTGTAATGGAAATGCGCCACGGCCTCGGACGGCCAGCGAGGCAGCCCGAGGCCTGAGCGAGGACGCTTAGGGACGCTTAAACGGGGCTACCCCACTGCAGTGGAAATGTGCCATAAGGTACTCGAAAGGAGGGTCAGGCCGATTGTCAAACCTCAGATTGAGGAGGAACAATGCGGATTCCGTCCTGGTCGTGGAACGACGGATCGGCTTTTTACTCTCGCAAGGATCCTGGAGGGGGCCTGGGAGTATGCTTATCCGGTCTACATGTGTTTTGTAGACTTGGAGAAGGCGTATGACCGAGTTCCCAGGGAATTACTGTGGGAGGTGCTGCAGGAGTATGGGGTGAGGGGGCCTCTGCTCAGGGCCATCCAATCTCTGTACTCCCAAAGCGAGAGCTGTGTCCGGGTCCTCGGCAGTAAGTCGGACCCATTTCCGGTGAGGGTTGGCCTCCGCCAGGGCTGCGCTTTGTCACTAATCCTGTTTGTAATATGGATAGGATTTCGAGGAGTAGTCGTGGGGGAGGGGGTCTGCAGTTTGGTGGACTAAGGATTGCACCACTGCTTTTTGCAGATGATGTGGTTCTAATGGCTTCATCGGTCTGCAACCTTCAGCTCTCACTGGATCGGTTCGCAACCGAGTGTGAAGCGGCTGGGATGACGATCAGCACTTCCAAATCTGAGGCCATGGTTCTCAGCACGAAACCGATGGACTGTCCACAAGTAGGGAATGAGTCCTTACCCCAAGTGAAGGAGTTCAAGTATCTCTGGGTCTTGTTCTCGAGTGAGGAACAATGGAGCGTGATGGGCCGGAGAATCGGAGCAGCGGGAGCGGTACTGCAGTCGCTTTACCGCACCGTTGTGACGAAAAGAGAGCTGAGCCAGAAGGCAAAGCTCTCTGTCTACCGGGCCATTTTCGTTCCTACCCTCACCTATGGTCATGAAGGATGGGTCATGACCGAAATAACGAGATTGCGGATACAAGCGGCCGAGATGGGTTTTCTCCGCAGGGTGTCTGGCGTCTCCCTTAGGGATAAGGTGAGAAGTTCAGTCATCTGGGAGGGACTCAGAGTTGAACTGCTCCTCCTTCGTGTCGAAAGGAGCCAGTTGAGGTGGTTCGGGCACCTAGTAAGGATGCCACCCGGGCGCCTCCCCAGGGAGGTGTTCCAGGCACGTTTCTAACAAATGATGCCCATGGTAATGACAATGAAAAGAAAATACTTACATCTGGGTTCTGGAGTAAAATTCACAATGTACTCTTCAGCACACAAAGTAATTAAAACAAGCTCCACCTTTGATAAAAACTTTATT